ATCTAGCAGCTTGTGGGCGGGATCTTGACTCGGCGGGGGTGGTGCCGACACTGCCTGCTCTTTATCTCTGGGGCTTGACCTTGACCCATTTGTTGTGTGGATAAAAATAGACCAGGGAGGGCGGGAACCGGTTCCCGCCCACATAACACAAGCCAGGTGTGGAAAGCTGCTCTGACCACCTAGGGTGGAGGTAGTTAGTGTGTGAGGGCCACTAGCACTTCATTGCCCATTCATTAAGGCAGCAGTGGGGAGCAGAGGCTGTGTCTTGTGTCAGCAAGGGTGGGTGCTCTTGTCTTTTTCTCAGGTGACTGGCTCTCCTGTTTACACTGACACCACCCCTTCAGTCATGGTCCTCACCAGGAAACGTGCTTCCCATGCGAAGACTGTGGCAACCCAGACAGAGGGTCTGCTTAATAATGTGGCGGTTCAGGTCTCTGGCTGCCGGGAGTGCCTCAGCCTGCTGCTGCCAGGGGAGGATGGGAAGGATGCCACTTGTGTGCGGTGTGAGCAGCTGGATGAGCTGCTCAACCTGGTGGTGGAGCTTAGGGAGGAGGTAGGTAGACTGCGGACCATCAGAGAGTGCGAGCGAGAGATTGACTGGTGGAGTGACTCTCTGCGAGAAAGGCGCAGAGATTGCACTACCCAGACGGAGGGAACAATGGACCCTCTCTCTCATTGTAGTCAAACAGGGAGAGACAGCTTGAGAGAAGATGAGGAATGGCAGCTGGTCTCATCCCGGCGTCGCAGGCAACCCCCAAGTTCTCGACCTACCTCGGTTCCCCTGATCCCTCTCTGTAATAGGTATGAAACCCTGAAACCAGAGGGAGAGGTGACTGATGATAATGTGGGAGCACTGCCGCCAAGCTTGCCTAAGGTGAGGCGATCAGCTCCGCGTTTAAAGACTGCCTCCTCCAAGAAAGAAAGGAGAGTGGTAGTTGTAGGTGACTCTCTTCTGAGAGGAACAGAGGGTCCAATATGTCGGCCTGACCCTACCCGTAGGGAGGTGTGCTGCCTTCCTGCAGCCCGGGTCAGGGATATTTCTAGAAAACTCCCCAGCCTTATCCACCCCTCTGATTATTACCCTCTATTGATAGTTCAGGCCGGCAGTGATGAGATCCCTGTTAGAAGCCTGAGGATTATAAAAAATGATTTTAGGAGACTGGGGAAGTTAGTTGATGGAGCGGGCATACAAGTAGTGTTTGCCAGCATTCCCTTGGTGGCAGGGATGAACGCTGAGATGACCAGGAAAAGCCATCTTATAAATGCATGGATGAGAGGCTGGTGCAAGCGTAAAAATTTTGGATTCTTTGATCATGGGGTGGTCTACTCGGCATCTGGCCTGAGGTCTGCAGATGGGAATTGCTTGTCTCCAAAAGGGAGACGGATACTTGCCCAGGAGCTGGCGGGACTTGTAGAGAGGGCTTTAAACTAGATAGGAAGGGGGAGGGGGATAAAGCCAGGCCTGCTAGAGAGCAGCCTGGGGAAGTGGTAGTGGGATTAGGTGAGAGGCGAGGGGCTCAGCTGAGATGCGTCTACACTAATGCACGCAGCATGGGCAACAAACAAGAAGAGTTGGAAGCCATTGTGCAGCAGGCAAACTATGACCTAGTTGCCATAACGGAAACGTGGTGGGATTGCTCCCACGATTGGAGTGCGGCAATGGATGGCTATAAACTCTTCAGGAAAGATAGGCAAGGAAGGCGGGGTGGAGGTGTAGCTCTCTATGTTAGGGAATGCTTTTACGCTACTGAGATTATGACTGGGGACGATAACGTTGAATCCCTATGGGTAAAGATCAGAGGAAGGGCTGACAAGAAAGGCACCCTGGTGGGTGTCTGTTATAGACCCCCAAATCAAGATGAAGAAACAGACGAGGTATTCTATAAGCAGCTGGCACAAGCTGCACAGTTGCCTGCCCTTGTCCTCATGGGGGACTTTAACTTCCCTGACATATGCTGGGAGTACAGCACAGCACAGAGGAAGCAGTCTAGGAGGTTTCTGGAATGCGTAGAGGACAACTTCCTGATACAGCTGGTCAGAGAGCCCACGAGAGGAACTGCCCCACTAGACCTGCTGTTCACAAACAGGGAAGGTTTGGTGGGAGATGTGGAGGTTGGAGGCTGTCTTGGACAGAGTGATCATGAAATGATAGACTTCGTGATTCACAGTGGAGCCTGGAGGGGGAATAGTAATACTGCTACCTTGGACTTCAGGAGGGCAGACTTTGAATTGTTCAGGGGACTAATAGGGGGAGTCCCCTGGCATTCAGTCTTAGCAAGCAAAGGGGTCCAAGAGAGCTGGTTGCTCTTCAAGAAGGAAGTCTTAAGGGCGCAGGAGCAGGCAGTCCCCCTGAGCTGCAAAATGAGCCGGCGGGGAAGAAGACCGGCGTGGATGAATAGGGAGCTATTCCTGAGGCTCCGGGAGAAAAAGAGAATCTACCGCCTGTGGAAAGAGGGACAGGCCACTCAAAATGAATACAGGAAAGTTGTTAGGATGTGTAGAGGTGAAATCAGAAAGGCAAAAGCCCAGCTTGAATTTAACCTAGCTGCTGGTGTGAAAAGGAATAAGAAACTCTTTTATAAATACATTAACAGTAAGAGGAGGACAAAGGAGAATATCCACTCTTTGCTGGATGAGGCTGGGAATGTGACCACTGAGGATAAGGAAAAGGCGGAGGTTCTGAATGCCTTCTTTACGTCTGTCTTTAAAAGTCAGACCAGTTATCCTCAGGATACCCCTCTCTCTGACCTGGTAATCTCGGCCGGGGAGCACACTAACCCCCCTGTGATTCTGAAAGAAACAGTCAGAGACCTACTGCTCCAGCTGGACTGTCACAAGTCGATGGGGCCAGATGAGATCCACCCGAGAGTGCTGAGGGAACTGGCGGAGGTGATAGCCGAGCCGCTTTCCATCATCTGTCAGCGCTCCTTGTTGACTGGTGAGGTCCCAGAAGACTGGAGGCTTGCCAATGTGACTCCCATTTATAAGAAAGGTCGTAAGGAGGATCCGGGGAACTACAGGCCTGTCAGCCTGACCTCGGTGCCAGGGAAGGTTATGGAGCAGATCGTCTTGAGGGAGATCATGCGGCATGTGCAGGGTGACCGGGGGATCAGGCCTAGCCAGCATGGGTTCATGAAGGGCAGGTCCTGTTTGACCAACCTGATCTCCTTCTATGATCTAGTGACCCATCTGGTGGATGAAGGAAAGGCTGTTGATGTGGTCTACCTAGACTTCAGCAAAGCCTTTGACACTGTCTCCCACAGCATTCTCCTGCAGAAGCTGGCAGCCAGAGGCTTGGATGGGTACACTCTTGGCTGGGTAAGGAGCTGGCTGGAGGGCCGGGCACAGAGAGTGGTGGTGAATGGAGTTAAATCCAGCTGGCGACCGGTCGTGAGTGGTGTTCCGCAGGGGTCGGTGCTGGGGCCTGTCCTCTTCAATATCTTTATTGATGACCTCGATGAGGGCATCGAGTGCACCCTCAGTAAATTCGCAGATGACACCAAATTGGCTGGAAGTGTGGATCTGCCTGGGGGTAGCGAGGCCCTACAGAGGGATCTGGACAGGCTGGAGAGCTGGGCTGGAGCCAATGGGATGAGTTTCAACAAGGCCAAATGCCGGGTCCTGCACTTCGGCCACAACAACCCCAGGCGACGCTACAGGCTTGGGGCGGTGTGGCTGGAGGACTGCGTAGAGGAAATGGACCTGGGGGTATTGATTGATGCTCGGCTGAACATGAGCCGACAGTGTGCCCAGGTGGCCAAGAAGGCCAATGGCATCCTGGCTTGCATCAGAAACAGTGTTGCAAGCAGGAGCAGAGAGGTGATTGTTCCCCTATATTCAGCACTAGTGAGGCCGCACCTCGAGTACTGTGTCCAGTTTTGGGCCCCTCACTGCAAGAAAGATATTGAGGCCCTGGAACGTGTTCAAAGGAGGGCAACAAAGCTGGTGAGGGGTCTGGAACACAGGCCATATGAGGAGAGGCTGAAGGAGCTGGGAATGTTCAGCCTGGAGAAGAGGAGGCTCAGGGGAGACCTTATTGCTCTCTATAACTTCCTGAAGGGAGGTTGTAGTGAGCTGGGGGTCGGCCTCTTCTCTCGTGTCATTAGTGATAGGACCAGGGGGAATGGTTTCAAGCTACGGCAGAGGAGATTCAGGCTGGACATGAGGAAGTATTACTTTTCAGAAAGGGTGGTCAGGCACTGGAATGGACTGCCCAGGGAGGTGGTGGAATCACCGACCCTGGGGGTGTTCAAGGAAAGGCTGGATGTTGTGTTGAGGGACATGGTTTAGTAGGAGCTATTGGGAATAGGTGAACGGTTGGACTGGGTGATCTTTTAGGTCTTTTCCAACCTTAGTGATTCTATGATTCTATGATGATTCTATGCATAGTGCTGAATTTGCATTGTACAATGCAAATGCTAGTTGAAAATGAAGTATATGATTGAAATATTCTGGAGATAATCAAGTAACACTGATTTCTGTGGCAGGAAAGTGAATGCATGTAAATATCAAGGCTATTCAATTATTAGTATTTCTTGGGTGATGTTTTGTTTATTTTGCTCATTTTTCATTCTTTGTTGAGCATTTCTTCTTTTTTGGTTTGTCCTCCTATGTTGGTGATCCACTGGAGAATATAGAAAACTATATGCAATGCTTAAAGGAGTTAAATACTTACTTTTTTTTCTTAATTCATCTGGATCAAACTTATCTTTTTATTCTTTTGTTAAGTTTCAGCCTAATGTAGTTAATCTCTATGGATGTGCAGCTCTAGAAATGGTCTTCTATAATAACAGTGACAAACGTAAAAAAAATAATTTACCAGATTGTTGTATTTTTCTTCTTAATTACCATGACAAAAATAAATAAAACTACTAATGAAAGTGGACATAGAGATGCTCTAGATGTCTTTAAGGTGCTGTGTAGTAGTTATGCCCTCTGAATTAAATTATCTGTGAATACTATTCCTGCACAGATTGTGGCTCCCATGTTTGATAATTTAGCTGCAACCTGATGCAATAATGATTTTTGCTTATTTGTTTCCTTATTCACTCTGAAGTGCACACTCTTCCCATAGGAGTCATTTCTCTGTACAGATTGAACCATTATTTGACCATTGACACTGCCACTGATTTGTGGAGTAACAGGATGATTAAGTATATTGGCAGAGTGCCTCATTCACCAGTAGGCAACAAACCCTTTGTCTGTTTTTTCTTATGATTTTTCATCTCTTTCTTTTCTACTTCACTGAGCTCATATTAGCAATTGACCTGCAAAGTGGAAATGCAGGAATGTTTCATGATGGCTTTAGGCAAACAAAAGAATGATGAGTATATGCAGGAGTGAATCAATTTTTCCATTCTCTGAGAGAATAAAATAGCAATTTTGAGGCATCTCAATTTGAGTCTTCCTGAAACAGAGCACAGCATAATTGCTTGCAGAGACTTGTCCTAATTGGCAGTTTTAGGAAAGGGACAGAGACAGTTCTTAGCACTTGCAGAATGGAAAGTTCTCGGGAGACTGTTGAAACAATTAATAGGCATTTCTGTCTTTCTGCCTAAGGTGCCTGACTTGAAACCCAGCTGAAATGATAGCAATTCGCAACGAGGAGCCTCTGAACTTCTCCAAAGCAGATGGCATTCTCACTGCTCTTTTCCAGTTTCAGAAGAGAGCTGGGGGGAAAAAGGAATGTGCAGGGGAGATGAGAGGTTTCACGCATACTTTTCCCTGTCTCACACATTGTTTTATTTATGTGTGCATATGTCCATCTGTAAAACATTATATCTGGGTTTTTCTCCATGTGAGAACTTTAAAGCTGTATAATTGACTATTATCAAATTAATTGGTACATTACAGATACTGAAGACTTACGTGCCAATTATTCAGAAAGGGGGGTGTGCATTCTCTTTTTTTCATGCTTGATTTATTTCAGTGTTTCTCCTGTATTGTCTTTTGTTCTCTCCTGGGTTAAAAAACACATTTGTTAATGTATTTTGTAACTCAGCTTGCTGCTTCTAGCCTTTTGCAATATATGACAAAAATGCTACAAACAAGAAGTCTGTTGTAATACTGAATTTTGAAAAACAAGTGCTTGTGTTTTCCCTTGACAGTTAAATGAAAAATACAAAGGAAAACTGTTCTTGGAGGTTTTATTCTGAAGGGTTTTGTAATACAGTGAATAATCAATAAAATCATTTTGGATACTCTCTGGTTTGGAGTATATAAAAAAGAAAAACCACCCACAGACCACTCCTACTCATTCCCTGTATAATCCATATTAAAAGCTCTACATCTGGGATGTACTTTTACTAAGGGCAGCAGCATCACTCTCTGGTAGCTTGAGTTCTTCGACTGAACAGGCTCACTGCATTATCAAAGCAGTCTCACTGTGAACTTCAACTTTCATGCTGGAAATCACCATGTAGTCACAGTAGATACAGTGGTGGTCTTTCATAGGAGAGGCGTAGAAAATACAGGAATGGGAGTTTCTGGGTGCACCCAGCTGCAGGTGACGGCACACTTAACTGGGAGGTATATATGTGGTTATTAAAAAAGAAGCTCAAAAAATTACTTTGGCGTTTTCAATGTGTCTTTTAATATCCCATTACAATCAAGTTTCAGGAAAGTATTATTTTTTTTTCAGCAGATACTTTCAGTTAAAATCACTGATCTTTATGAATTAGTTGTTTTGTATCCAGTGATCCCATATGCTGGTTGTACAGAAGGCACCAGAGAAGCAGAGGGTACAATCAGCCAAGAATCCTGCTACTGTTTATCTTTCACCTTAGAGCTGTTCTTCACTTCATTGCAGTAAATGGTGGCACATCTACATTTCAGACATACTACATTATTGTGCTCAGTGATGCTGAGCTCCACATCCCATGTACCTGACTAAAAAGCTTATTGCAACCATTATCACTTTGGTCTACAGCAAAGTCCAGCCAGCTAGTTCTTGCTGTGCATCTTTACTACAGAAGAAAGATGATAAAGTAATACTCTCTGAATGCTGATTTGTCTTCCTTTTTCCCACTTTCCTCTGAGTCATATAACAAAAAATGAATTTGTGCTCTAAACATTACAGGATAGCAGCCATTGCCTGTTTATTTCTACTGGTGTTACTGTAAAATGTGTTCTGACCTCTTGCTGCTCGGGGCACCTGTCTGTAACAGTATAAACAGATGCTTGCTTTCTAAAGTGAGCACCTCAACTATGCTAAGTAGAGGTCATATGCATGGTGGCAATAAGTGTGCTTTCCTTTTTCTAATGCTTTATGTCATGGAATTTATTTTTGCTCTTACTGTTTCTGGAGGATCACTGTTGTGATCTGACTGTTCTTTGAAGTGTGATATAACTGTTTGTTAAAGTTTTGTCAAAAAACAAGGGAACCATGATCTGAAAATGTTTGGGCTTATCATCTTAGTTTCTAAAATATTTGAAATATTTCAAAGTCCTAGGGGTTCCAGAACTTTACCTTCACCTCTCTTTACTTAAATGCCCTATCTTTAGGGCTTTTAGAGCTCTTAGAAATAAGAACTCTGTTCATCATTTCTGCTGTTAAACAAAAAAGAGTATTCATGGAAGAAAATGCTGCTTCACTTAGGATAAAGACTTGGCTGTGCCAGTGTTGTCATCCAGGTGCCAGGTGGGAGATACCTACAGGCTCCTCTGCTACAACTAGTAGAGAAGCAGTATGTGCGCTGCACAGACCCTCTCCTGGTTGAGTCAGCTGGTATGTGAATTACTGACTCCTGCTAGGGGCCACTACAGGTGCCAAAGTCAGATGTATAACAGTCTCATTTTTCTTTCTGAACGAGTTAGCAATTGTAAGAGAAATTTTAAAATCATTATCATGTTTTTATAATATTTGATTTTACAATTATAACAAAGAAATTCTTAGACTTCTTGAACGTATTTTGTAGTATATATTATAATATAATTTTGTAGTTTTAGCAGAGAAAAAATGCCATGGAACGTTGTATAGCAAATGTTGATGCAAAGCCTAAGTCAGAACTTAGGCTGTAAAATGTAACCAGGTGTGCTAGGATTCAAGTTAATAAGTTAATTCATCAATTAATTTCCCTGCCACCATAAAAAAAAAAATGAGTGCTGATTTCCAAATCAAGTGGTTGCTTAGCATCATAAATGCAATTATTTCCTCTCCTTTGAGTTTACATGTTTCTTTTACTCCTTGCCCTGTAACCTCAGATGCTTTACTGTCTTTAATGGATTTTTCACTTTCTTCACCACGCTCTCCATGTGTCTTTACAGTGGTCAGTGTATATCCGTGCTGCTGTCCGCAAAGAAAAAGGACTGCCAATCCTGGTAGAACTCCTTCGAATAGACAATGACCGGGTGGTATGTGCAGTTGCTACAGCTTTACGAAACATGGCCTTAGATGTCAGAAATAAGGAGTTAATAGGTATGTTCTTTCCCAACTATCTGTATTTTGTGTTTGGTTTTCTTCTTGCTTACAGCAGGATAAGCACAATGAGAGATTATTTTCACATTTCTAACATAATTTCTTTAATTCTTTCTCTAATGCTTTATGTTCACATTTTATGTGACGGCTTAGTACTATTGCAAGGAACTGTTAAATTAATTAAACATCATGCAGCATTTTATGATTTGTCATACTGTAATCTCCAGAAGAAAAGTGATGGCTTTGTTCTACTTTAGTGCTTTATTCATAGGCTGACAGTGGCACTTGCGTCTTCCAGATCAAGGATATGACAGAGCAGCCACCTCTGATCCTCAGGTTCTCTATTAGAAGTGATATTGGAGATTATGAAGTGTCAAATCATAAACCTAAAAGATGGTCTCAGGAATTTACTGGACATATTAGTAGGTCCAGCAGCAGAGCTTGGAGATGCATAATTTTCAAATATGTGCAGATAAGGGAGAAAACAGTGTTATCTAAATCATTGTTTGTTCTGAATTCTGATGGTATGGTAAGCAAACTTTTTAGGTTTTCTGTTGTATTTTTTGTTTTATGGTGGTTTTTCAATTTGTTTTGCTTTTTTTTAGCTATAATTCATAAAAATGCTGTGAATCATTTAAACTTTATTTTCATGTTCTGTGTTTGAAAAAATGTCTGTTTTTTTTTGTTTTAAATTAGTTTAACAATCATGACAAAAATTATTTCTACTTCCTCTGTACCTTCAGTGCACATTGTTCTTCATTTGTGCTAGGCAGTTAATTTGTTATCATTACTGCATACTGTAATACTTTGCCCTTAATTACAGAATTACCCAGATAAGTACTTTGATCATAATGCTTTTTTATTTGTATTCAGTGCTTCATAAGAGCAGTGCCTGTTAAAGCAAGGCAGTCTCCCCTCACTTCTTGTACAAAATAGTGAGAACTTCACTGACAAAATGTGGTAAAGCAAACAGGTAGTGAATGATGAGTAGTATAAACCTGCTGGGGTACCCAGGAATTGAACTCAAGTTGATGCTTTGCATGCAAGACCAACCTGATCATTCAGCTTTTGCTCACATGATAGTTGGCAAAAAAGACATGAAATTCAAGTTTGCTGTATTATGTTCAGTCTTCAGGAAGTTGCTTCAGGATGCTGCACGTGTGTTCTTAGTGGGTTTTTTCTGTTGTTTTCTCGGAATCTTAGAGTAGAAATTGCTGCTGAAGCAAATGTGTCAGGCCATCTGACCTGAATGAATAACTGATTATCTTTTCATTTTATCTCATGTTCCAACCTTCACTTTCAGTCTTCAGCATGTTATAGTCTTTGTAATTCAGCATTTTAGTCCTTCTAATTGAAGGGGTTGGGGGTTGCTCTCGATGATCTCTAGAGGTCCCTTCCAACCCCTACAATTCTGTGATTCTGTGAAAGTTTTATTTCCTTCTTAGCTATGCAAATTTTATTAGGAATGTAAGGCTAAGTGTGCAAAAATTAGAGCTGTCTTTTAACGTGATATGCCATACTAAATGCTTGTCAAATTATGGATAAGATTGCATAGCCTCCAAATTTTAATGTTTTATGTAATTATCAGAGAATGTGTGATATAAACAGAGATGAATTTTCAAAAGGTGGAAAGATTCTGTTGACAATAGATTTATTTATCTGTCAGCTGGTAATGAGTACAGCGTTGCTTAAATTTAAATTATTTGTGGAATAATTCTGGGAAGTTGTAATTTATAACTCCAAAGCAAGGTACAGACACGCCAATATGATAGGGAAGGTTTGACCATGATTCCTGAACCATTTCAGCTGTGACGTTTACATGCTCATTTCTTTGTCTTATGTCATCGAACGTTGAAGAAACAGTAATAATGGTCATTATTTCTCTTGTGAATTTTCTATAGCTAGTAGGTCACATCATACATCTCATTTGCAGAAATTACGAACATCTGCAGTTGTCAAGGATTTCAACTTGTCATAGGTTGTCTATTTTTGTGAATATTAAAATTCAACGTGTTCTGAGAGATCTTCTAAGAGGACTCAAAAGAGGCTTGTTGGTGTTCATTACATGAGTGTCTTTCTAAGTACAGTCAGCATCCTGTTTATCTTGCCTCTTTGAAGTTTCAGTTTGTCAGATTCTTGTAATGACAAACTGCCTCATAAATTGGCCTTTTCCCCTTCAGATAACTTTTCTTAAAGGTGAATTGTCCATCTGTATAGGTAGTAAAGATTGCATAAGTAGAACTGCATTTTTTAAATGCATCTTGGAGATTCATTTTACAGTTTCTTTTTCAGTGATGCTGTTCTCCCATTCCCAGCTGAGAACTTTGTACTGAAAAGCGCCGTAGAATGAGATATTTCTTTGCTGCTGTTGCCAAGCAGCCCGTGAATCAGTGTTGTGGCATCTGGCAAATATAGCAGAAAGCTTGCTAAAATCCAGACTCACCTGTAGCAAACCACAAAGCAAATGAAAAGACTGTCATTTTGAAATGACCAGAAATTTCTTTCTAGACTTTGTCAAATTTGCTGATCTATTTTGGTTTTGTCACAGATCTATTAAGTGTGTTTATATTGATAATGTTTGGTGCCAAGCCTCTCAAAATTTTTCTGAGCCATCACCATATAACATTTTCTTCAGTGAGTTCTTCCTGGGTTTCATTTAGGGTGTGCTCCTTGTCCTTAATATCACCTTCATTGTGCCGTGTGTAGTCTAGTTGGAGGCTGAGGTAGAGGGGAAATCGATCTTTTTCCTCACTGAAATTAGACCCCACTGAGACAAAGACATAGTAAATTTGGCCTGTTTTGGTTTGTTTGTTTGTTTGTTTGTTTTTTGTATTTGACACTTGGTTATACAGCACTTGATTCTCTATCCTTGGACAAAACTGCCCAGTTACGTTCCAGGTGACACTCAAGTTGTGTTCATTTTCTGCTCACTTTTGAGGACCTTTGTCTTTACAAAACAGTACCCCTTCTCTATCATTTCCCAAAAGAACACCATTGGGAAGATCTATCAATGTTGTCTCTTTTCTGGCAGTGCCACAGCTGAGGGATGTGGAGCTGAGCTGTGAGAACAGTTGACAGCTGCTATTGCTTGTTGAGCACTGTTGATACAAAGTGTTGTGCTTCAGGTCTTTCTGTCAGTTTGCTCTTATCCTGACAGTGGTTTCTAATGTTATTCTGAGCCATTGGTGGTTGAGAGAAAACACTGCAGCACTGTTTCAAGAGCGCCACTCACACATTTTCTGTGGCCACTTGGAATGTAGTTTTGTAGTTAAACAAAAGATGGTTTTGGAGGTATTTTGGCCACTCATCCTTGAAAAGGTAGGACAGTTGCACTAATGATTTTCATTGACCCATTGGCACATGCATAAGATGCATCCTTATGTAACTCTTTGCTTACAATACGTAGAGAAGCCACGTGTCTATTCAGGGCTCTAGATTTAAGGCAGAGAGCGGACAAATTAAAGATCTGCAATACTTAAGGCATCCTTTTTGTGGATATTGCTGCAAAAGCGTGATTCAAATAAATGAAGTTAAAGGTAAAATTTCAGGTTTTCACAAAGTTTTGAAGCAAGCCCTGAAACAGGGTCTTTAAAGAAGGGGTATTTTTGAATAACTATTCTTGTTTCAGGATGTCAGGAATGAATCATTCTCAATTCACTGCTCATTTGCTGGTAACATAGTTTTGAGATAGCATGTCCATTGAGTTGTTGCTCAGCTTGTTATAGTCTGCTTAATCTTGCTAGGTGTCTAAATATTAGACTCCCTGACAGAGAGAGAAAAACCCAGAAAGTGGTTTATCTAATGTGATAAAGTGGATCTCAAGCTGTACTACTGCCCAGCCACTGCTGAGAGAGAGAAAAAGTTAGGGAATGCATAAATTGACACTGAATGTATGTTTTAGCATCTCATGGGCAACATATATGTATTTGAGTGTTTGAAGTAGCTGGTGTTTGTTTCAAAGATTTATTGCTAAACGTGAGAGAGTTTGGAATGTCTGTCAGGTATTTACAACTGTAATGAATCATAGGATCATAGAATCACCAAGGTTGGAAAAGACCTCAAGATCATTCAGTCCAACCATCTGCCTACCACCAGTATTTTCCCACTAAGTAGAATCAGGATACAGAATTCTGAAAGATGGTAAAATATTGTTAGACTCGCTGCACAATTCAGGTTACAAGGAACCTCAAGAGGTCATCTTGCCCAGCTTAGTACTCAAAGCAGGGTCAGACTTGTTATTTCAAACTGTGATATTGATTCATATTTGGAAAGATTTGCTTTCAGCAGGCAGGCAGAAAACATGTCAAAAACAACTGTTTGTATTCTAACAGCAGTATGTTTTGGAGTATAAATAGTGACATAGGTTTCTCCTATCGTAAAACATGGGCACATTTTAATACCATAACTTTGTTTCAGTATCTATAATAAATCCAAGTGCAGATGGTATTTTTTTTTAACTACAAAAACAAAAGCTATACGAAATTCTGAGTAATAGTAATTTATGTTATTGGGGAACACAAGGATGGATTGGGAGATAATTAAATCAAGTATGCAGTTTTCATCCCACTTAGAGTGTGTAAACACTTTTCTCTCCTTTTTAAATGTGAGCACTTCTGAATTTGTCACAAATAGATCTGCAAAGATCTGAAAGGCACTGCTTTTTTATTGAATTTTTAATCATCTTATAATGTGATTTAGTTACTGAATTGTTAAATTGACAGAAATTCACAATGCGTAAAATGCCAGAAGGCATTATCTCAAATCATATGCATTTGTTCAGAAGAATTTGAAGAAAGAATATATGCTGCAATTTGTTTTAATTTGTATCAATTTTATTGCAGTTTTGTTTCTGTGTTTAGTAGATGAGTTGTGCAACACACATATTAGAGTAAATACCTGAATTAGAAGAGGTGGTTATCAAGAAGTTGATTTACGAAATAGAATGTAATGCTCATGCTCTTTACTTCATATCAGTGACAGGAAAGATATTAGTTAAGATG